GGCACCCGCTCCATCCCTCCATCCCCAGCTTGGCCCCACGCTCCCTCCGCTTCCTCCCCCCGGGTGGAAATTCAGCGCTTTCCCCTTGGAAAAAATAAAATCCGTAAAGGGCACGTAAAGTAAAAAGAGCCAGGGGGTGCATTCGAATGGGGTGAAGAGGGTGTGACATGTGCGAAAGAGAAAACACACGAGAGCCGAGTTTGGGGCCCCAGGTCCCTCGGAAGCAGCTGGTGCGGCGTGGCGTGGTGTCACCCTCCCTCCCCTGTCCCCTCTGCCCCTGCGTTAAGCGATCTCTTTGATTCTGCGGATGTAGTTGTGAAGCTCTTCGGGGTCTTGGAGCCCCATGTCCTGGCAGACCCACTCCAAGTCCTCCTCATCGGCAATGGGGATGGAGTTGTAGGCCAGCTCATCGGAGGGCAGTGTGGCAAACGTGGTGAATTTCACCCGCTTCCGTTTGGAGGTGGGCGAGTTGAGTGGGTCCTCGCTTTGGTCCCGTGTGGAGCCCCCCGAGGAACCGTCCCCGCGGCCATGGACCTGGCTCTGCACACTGGTCTGCGAGCTCCCACTGCTGTGGTGGTCCCCATGGCAGCAAGTCTGGACATTTTCCAAGGGGTTCCCAGGACTCTCGGCCTGGGGCGAGAGGTCATTGTGAGCCCTCAAGGGCTGCCCGTTGCCCAAGAAGACCCAGTGGTGGGAATGGTCCATGTTGGTCTGACCTTCTGGCGGGATGCGTTTGTGCCGATATTTCAGCACAAAGACAATACAGTTGATGAGGAAGACCAAGATGGCCAGACAGAAGACACCCAGAAGGGCATACATGCCTATCTCCAGGTCCGTCAGCCCCCTGGTCACCTGAACAAAGCCAGTGGGGATGGTGGGGAAGTCCTCGGTGGGGTGAGATGCAATAGACATCCTACTGTCCTCACTTGGCTCCGCTTTTCTCTCCACCTCTGCCCGCAGGGTGGTACTTGCTGCTGTCTCCTCGCGCCCCGGCTTGCTCGGCACATGGTCGTAGTCATAGGTTGGGTCCTCCTCGGAGCCGAAGTGGACCCGCACGCTGGCCAAGGCTGTGAAGAGCACGCTCTTGCGTTTCGTCTTCTGGCAGCTCTCACAGATGACCAGCTCAGCCCGGAGCAGCTCCCCTGAGCCCTCGTTCTCTGCCACCACCAAGGGGAAGGGCCGGTCTTGGGTGACTGAGACCACTTTCTCATCCAGGCTGGTCACCACCAGGTTGTAATCCTTGGGGTCATAGAGGGAGAGAGGGGCTGTGGTGCCATCACTGTAGGAAATCCACAAGCTGAGGAGTGCTTCCTGCAGGACAAATACAACCAACAGTTGCCCAGCAGGATGCAAGTCTACCTGCATCCATCCCTCCCTCCCTCCTTTTCAGCCTTACATCAGTGAAATCCATCCATTATTCCTCTCCCTTCCCTCTATTCATTTATGAATCCACCTTCCTCCTTCCAAGCTTGACCTGTTTTATCCTTTTTACCCATTTTCTCTCCTGTTATCTGCATGTTCCATTCACCTGTTTTCCTCACCCGTTACCTGCATGTTCCCTCAGGCAGGATCATGCCTCTGAAAGCCTCTGAGAGCATGCCAAGGATTTGGCATGGGACACAATCAGGTTTTCGGGTCCCTCCCTCCTGGTGTCAGATGGTGCAGACGCTCAGTCCTTTCTCCACTTAATTAAGTGGCAGTTTGCTGAGCTCTGCTTCCTCTCATCACATCTGCCAGGGGCTCAGCGTGGAGCAAAAGCTCAGGGATCATGGGGAGCTTCAAGGCTCTGAAGCTCTGGGCAGAACTTGGGAAAGGGGTTTTGCAAGCAAGGTCTCCATCCATGCCGAGTGCCATGCTGGGTTCCCCCTACACTGATGCACACGCTGAGACCCCTAAAACCGGGGCCAGCCCCATCACCCCTCGCCTCACCTGCTTGAAGAAGCTGAGGGTCTGCTGCGCGGACGTCTTGGCAATGATGGTGTGGCTATTGCCGGGGCTGGGGTGGAGGGAGAGGGAGAGGCTGGAGACCACTTGGGCCTTCAGGTCTGTGATGCTGACCTTCTCGTCTGCCACCGTCACCAGCGTCTCGCCCAGCACCGCTTCCATCAGTGGGGACACAACCTAGAGGGGACAAGGGTACCTGTCAATGCTGGAGCCCCCTTCCCTGGTGCTTTCTGGGCCTCATCCAACAAGACACGGTCACCGAGAACGTGGCCTGGGTGTACCTTGAAGAGCGTGGTGCCCGGCTCCCTCCCAGCCAGCGTGAAGCTGTCCACCAGGTGGGCCACCCGCGGGTCATCCACACGCATGAAGTCGCTGACCAGGTCCGTGACTTCCACCAGCCAGTCCGGCCCCAGCATGGTGACAACCTGGCCTGTGCCCTCCGCCGACGTGGTGTGGAACTGGGTGAAGACCTGCAGCGTGGCGTGCTGGTACTGCAAGGCACAGCCTCGGCTCTGCTTCCTCTCCTCTTCATCTTCCTCATGGTCGCTGTCCCGTATGGACCTGCGGGACATGGGAGCAGGTGGGGAGTGCCACCAACCCCCTCCACGGCTCTTCAGCCCCCAGGCAGAGGACAGGGATGACCGAGCAGAGAGGGATGAGACACTGCGGAGAAATGCAGGGTCTCCCAAAGCAGCAAGACACCTGGTTGCTCCAGTTTTGGTCCCCCGAAACAATACCTGTTGCCTACGAGGTCTCTGAGGACTTTTTTGGCACATGGCAAAGCGAGTAGCTTGGATCTATGCCCACTAACCCGCAGAGAGCCAGGATAAATCAGGTTGGGAGGAACACCTAATCTAAGCTAACCCTCAAAGCAGGGTTAGCTTAGAAGTCAGTTGGCCTCATCCTGGTGAGCTTTGACCATTGCCAAGGATGGAGTTTCCCCACCAGCTCCAGGGTTTGACCACCTTCACTGTGATTTTTTTTCTCCTTACGTCCAAACAGTAATTTCCCTTGTCGCAGACTTTATCCATAATCTCCAGCCCCTTCCCTCTGAGGTTAGTCTGGCTCCACCATCTTTAAAGCCCCCTCATTAAGTCACTGAAAAGGGCAGTTTGCCACCTCTCCCCTTCACTTTCTCCAGGCTAAACAGACCCAGATGGCTCAGCCTCTCCTGGTGCATCCTCCACCCGAGCACCCGTCTCCATGGTCCTCCCCTGGACTTCTTCCAGCTTGTCTACGCTTCCCATGCACCAAACCAAAGCCAGGGCCCTGATGAGCCTTGCAGCACCCACCTCCTGTCTGGCAGGATGGGCACCCTCCAGGCCTTCACTTGGCTCAGCCGGGCGTCCGAGAGCTCGATGTGCAGGGGCAGTTTGGGCACCCACACGGTCATCTCCAGCGGGGCAGAGAGGTGCTCGTAAGTGAAGGTGACCCGGGCGCTCATGGAGCCCCGCGACTCCTTCCCGCTGACAAAGACATAGTCGCAACTGCTGGAGACCTGGGGAGAGGGGCGGAGAGAAGAGAGGGGGTTGAAAAATGCCAGCAGAAATCACCAGAAATCACACAAATCCTAGGAAAGGAGTAGGACTGAACCAGCCATGTACCCAGTTAAAGGTCAGCCCAGGAGAGGTGATGGTTTCTCCTCTCCAAAATCCTTGCCATGAGGAGTAGACCCTCATAAAGCGTCCACGATCTACGACAAATGTTCCCTCTGGTGCTGGTGTTCTTCAGGCCCTGGCCCACGTACAGCTCCTGTGTGCACCTTCACCTTGTGCTTCAGCTTCCTTGGACTCCTGCACACAGCTGTTCCCTCTCACAACGTTCAGGTTAGAAGCACCTCTGGGTGCCTTTTCAGTTCAGCCCAGACCACAGGGCTTGCAAACGGCTTATTCTAAACATCAGCCCCAAAAGATCCTCCACCATCAACCATCAAACACAGAAAAAGAACCCAGACCTGCCACGAGCTGGGTGTCACAGAGGGGGCTGTGGTCCCATCCCCATCACTCATGCAAGGAAGAGCTTCCAAAAGAGCTTCAGCTTCCAAAGGGCTGAATCCCGTTGTCCATTTTCTCTGCTTTTCCATCTCTCTCTCTTTTTTTTTTTTTTTCCTAATTCCCATTTATGCAAATGCTGTTAGTTAAATTTGCTATAAAACAAATATGTCCTGCGGGGGCCACTTATTACCGACCAATCCAAGCCAATTAAGGAGATAAGAGGAAGCAACTAAAGCATCACTTGTGTTTCGTCTTAGAGCACCAGAGTCAACGACACCTCTTCCTTCCCAGCAAGGCTGGAACAAAAATCAGCCCCGGGAGGCTTGAACCTCTAATCGGGAGCAGCCCCGGGCCTAACTCTGACCCTTCTGTCCCCTCTGCGCTGTCAGAAATTGTGTGGAATTATTTGTAGCTGGGAAAAAAAAAGGAAAAAAGATCTGTTTCCTCGGCCAGCAGCACAGTCACTCTTTTTCTTGTCTGTGCTGGGCATCTCAGCAGCAATGTTTCTTGTCCCCAGTGAGCTGCTCTCCTATACGGATTCTCTGATGGCTGATAAGGGTTGAGCCCATGCCTTATGCTAGCTGACAACAAAGGTGATAATATCACTGTCTCTCTCCACCTCCTCCTTGGGGATCTGTATTCACTCATCTGCAGGAGCTTTGTATTTTAGAGCTTTTGAGTGATTCCTACAAGAACTCAGGGCCGTGGGGTCCCTCCGTGGTGCATTCATGGTCCCCTGAGGCTGGCACTGCCTGCGAGACTTCCCTGGGGTGACAGGGCTGTCAGGGCCACACAAGCAGTGAAGGACACTGAGTTCCACAGACCGGAGCTCTTTGGGAAGTCTCTGCTCGCCGGGTGGCAGGGGGAATTGCAGCGCGGAAGGGTTTGTTTGTTGCCTCCATATCAGATAGATACCGGCTCAGCATGCCTGAGAAGACGATCTCAGCTCTGGCAGGGCGGCCTTTGAATAAAGATGAGCTCTTGGGTGAATCCCCCAGCAAAGGAGTACTCTGGATACTGTGCCATTTATCACAATAAATATGATGGGCTGCTGCTTGCATTACCTTAGCTAATAAATCCCCCCAGCAGTCTTGTTCTGGGGGCCACTTGCTTTTCAATTGGCTGGGGGAAAAAATATGACAACAAAAAATACCAGCACATCAGGCCTGTCCTGATGATGGAGTGACTGCAGATTAGCTTTTAAATGAAGTGAGCGCTTGTTCAGAGATACTTCCCGGAATCGCAGCAAGGCATCGGTAAGCAGGAGGCTGAGGTCTCCCTGGGCACCGAGCCAAGCACCAGCAGCTCCATTCCCATGGCCAGGAGCTGCTCCAAGCTCCTCATCAACGTGGTCTACAGACTGAAAGGCAGTATGGAGGCAATGAGTCCTCTCCAAGGCCCCCAGGGCTGGGAAGAATCATCACAGCTGGTGGGATCCTGTGTTTGCTCATGAGGGTTTCCCACTGGAGGCCAGGGGATGATCAGGACCTCCAAGGCTGCAGACAGACCACCAATATGTTTGTAGCTGATATGTTTGTAGCAGGTCTTCAAACAGATGCATGAGGGTGACAACAGGCTCCTAAGCAAGGCTCAAACAGCAGGTGAGGTTGAGCATCTCTCCATCGAGCATCACTGCAGGGGGAGTTGGCCCTCCTCTCCCTGCAGGTCCCCTGGGTGCACACATGTCCCCAGGGCCATGGCATAGGCCGGGAACAAGTATTATTTCTATGCTACATTGAAAAAATTGAGTCCTCCTCCTCCGGGATGAGTCGCCATGTGCCACCATGGAAGGGACAGGGGCCACGAATCGCGCCTGCGCTCTCCCTCCACCCAGGGAACAAGCATTATTTCTATGCTACATTGAAAAAAAATTGAGTCCTCCTCCTCTGGGATGAGTCGCCATGTGGCACCATGGAAGGGACAGGGGCCACGAATCGGGAACAAGTATTATTTCTATGCTACATTGAAAAAATTGAGTCCTCCTCCTCCGGGATGAGTCGCCATGTGCCACCATGGAAGGGACAGGGGCCACGAATCGCGCCTGCGCTCTCCCTCCACCCTCTAATCATGGTCCCTGCACCCATGCAGCCCACTGTCCACATGTTACCCAGAGGAGCAACCACCAAGCCACAGCCAGGGTGGGGAGAAGCAGCCGCTCCCCAGCTCTCCTTAACATTGAAGTATTTACAGTAACAGATACCAGAGTCCACTATGTAGGCTCTGATTTATGTAACAGGTTTATAGCCCTGACACCGCAATCGCACTCCCCAATCTCAGCAGGTAACTGAAAGCTCCCTCGGAAACGCATCTCCAGCACAAACACAAAATAACTCAGCAAGAAATTGCAAGGGGCTTCAGACGGAAAGCAGGAGGCGAGGGAGCCGTGGGGCTGGAGGATTGCTCCATGTATTATTCATCCCCACTTGTGTGCATGTGTCTGCTCCCCCCAGGTCTGGGGACAGTGTGCAAATAGATTTATGAGTAGAAAGGCAGCACATTAAACAGCTTAAGTGTCTTGAAGTCCATCCTGAAGTGTATTATTGCTCCAGTGTTTAATCATGCTGCGGAGAACCGGTCTCCATAAATTAGAGCCCAGCGCTGTAAATCGCACAGATTGTAGCTGTAGTCACAACCTGGATAAACAGTTTGCGACACCAGCTGTACTCCCCTATACGCCTGGTTCAACCCAGGCTGGGTCCCGGGTAAGGGCTGGGATGGGGTCTGAGGTGGGGTCCGGGGTAAGGTCTCAGTTGGATCCGAAGGTCTGGGGTTAGGTCTGGAGGTCCTGGGTAGGTCCGGGGTGGGGTCCGGGATAAGGTCCGGGGTGTGGTCCAGGATAAGGTCCGGAGTGGAGTCTGGTGTTGGGTCCAGGTAAGGTCTGGGGTTAGGTCCCGGGTAGCTCTGGAGTGAAGTCCGTGCTGGGTCCGGGGTGGGATCTGGGGTAGGGTCCAGTGTAGGTCCAGCACTGGTCCAGTGGGCTTAGGTTCACAGTGGAGTCCGGGTTTAGGTTCAGGGTAAGGTCCAGGGTGCGGTCCAGGTTAGGTCTGGGGTTGTCGTAAGGTCCAGAAGTAAAGGGGTATCCTGGGGTAAGGTCCAGGGTTAGATCTGGGGTGAGGACCGAAATTAGGTCTGGGGTAAGGTCCAGGGTGCGGTCTGGGGTTAGGTTTGTATTAAGATCTGGGGCTAGGTCCAGTGTTGGGTCTGGAGCTCGGCCTCAGGTAGGTCTGGGGTTAAGTCCAG